AATAAAGTAAAAAAAAAAAAAAAAAAAGACTGATATCCGTTGTTCCGGAGGGAGAACAACTTCCGGGTCACGGAAAGCTAACGGCTGATGCGGTGCAGAAAGGGGAAAAAGAGGCTATAGCAAGTTAGCGAGTAAGCGGTCGGTTCTCCTTTATCCTAATATAAAAATAATAATAATCACTATAAAATCCAGAACTTACGTGAAAATGTTTAGGTGATCGTTCTAAGGAGAAGTCTTAAATGGACTTTCTGTAATTAATTTGGATGAACGCGCACTTCAACACATATTTGTTGTTTTTGTTTACTCTGTCATTCACAGTGCCGTGTTATTTGGAAGTACACACCCGCAGTGAGTGAGCGTCATTGTTTTATTAAAGTAGGAGCTATTACTTGCTTAACACGCCTATTTATTTTGCTCAAAGGTCACCCTGTCCCATTTAAACAACCGTGTGTAAAGTCCACTTGTCATTTAGTCGAGTTTGCAGCAATAGGACAAAAATGCAAGCCTTGCAGAATATTGAACAGTTTTTTAAGGGAGTGAAAATGGACAACTGGGCAGTGGCTCTGCTCACTGGTGCTACCTGCGTTGTCGGATCCGTGGTTATGCTGGTGAAAAAGATCAGCAGCCACCGAGAGACGGAGGGAAAGACCAAGAGAGCCAGAAAGAGGAGAGAGGAGAGCTTGCAGCAGGCAGAGCAGGCGGTGCTCCGCTACAAACAGTCGGTGAGAGTTCAGAGCCCTGGACTTTGAATTGTTTAAGTTAATCTTTGGAGATATTAGTTCAAACCTGGTGAACTATGGACAAACAATTTGGTAAATAATTATGTATTATTTCTGAAGTGCCTTAATTTTCAGATATTATATCAATAAGGTGCTGAAAACATTCCTCAGAGACTTTGCTCCATATTGACATAAAAATCATGTGACTCGCTCGTTCCCACAGTTCTCCAAAGGTGCTTTATTGGATTTATTTACTATTGCAAAACATGGTGTTAAGTTGCAGACTTGCTTAGATGTAGCTTATTACATTGAAACACACTGAACGTTATCAGTATTTTATTATTTATTTCATTTCTTTGGATTTTTTTAAATTTTAAA